CTTTTTCAACGAGAGAATATAGACAATTGTGGTAGGCTTCTTTAAGCGGGCTCAGCGTGTCAATGCCTTTGGACGCGGCCTGCAGAAAACAATGAGTTTGCAATCAATGTCCTTTTTTATCTGCCTTACAATCATGCACAGATGGCGGAAATCTTTGCGAAATGTAATTAACTGGGGCTGATTAGTCCTGTGTGATTTTGTCATAGTACGATGGCGAAAAAGCGCGTAGCGGACAAGCGTATCTAAAGCATAAAAGTTCAGAATCGCCCGTTTTCCTTCTTTTTTTTTGACATACTCAATGTAAAATTGGTTGGGTCCCAAGGTTCATGCATGTTGTACGCGTGGCAAAATGTTTCCCACTGGCAACTGGTAATCATCAATGCGTGCTGCGTCAATGGCCCATGATCTGGCCGAGGTGCCATCACATCACCAACTTGGGCATCAATATCACGCCGCACAGCATCCAAATCCATGGCGGCACAGAGGTCTTTGCCGCGTTCCAGGAGACGAGCGCGTTCTTGTTCAATGAATTGAGCGGACATGATCCGAATCAAGCGAGTCAAATGAAAACAAGAAAAAAATCGCAACAATGAAATGAAATGGAAAAAAAAGAAACAAAGAGAATAAAAAGGGGTGCTCTCGATACCAATTTAGAATTTAGACGCCGCTGCTCATTTTGGCATGAATCTTGATCTACAGGCACACATGGCTTCGTGAGGTTGTGCGTTTAACATTTTTTTCCAGCGCCAAAAGGGGAAGAGATGCCCAAAAAATTACATTAGAAGCAAAATCACTGAGGCCAGTTCGTGGTATTGGCACTCATAATGAACCCAACCATCTGCTTCCATGCACCACCTATGCACCAGTGCCTCTACGCATGGCTCAAGCAAGAAAAATTGATCAATGACGTCGTACATGCTTCAGCAACCAAGATCCAGCATCAATTTGATTCGCAATATGGCGCGCTTACCGAATGTGTGTTGATTTTCTGTTGGTCACTTGCGATGCAACATGTAAAAAGAATGGCTATTAGGTAGTGGCCGATAAAATCGGTTTTTATCGTTTTTGTGGTCATTTTAACGACTTGCAACGAGTGCTCGACAATACCAGCGGGATTAGAAATTGAATGCATTGTAGGGTGTCACGTCGCGTCGCACTTTTGTCCCTGCAGGCGCATTGTGGTCAAATTCTCTCGTGGAGCAACAATTACCTTTGTGTCTCTTTGTTTTCTTATGATGTCAGCAACAACAGCAATTGTAAAAGGCGGAAAGTGACAAATTTTCCACGTGGCCCCGCTGTCTCATTCATGCTTCTTCCCGTCCTCATGCAACTGCAAAAAAAAAAAAAAAAAAAAAAAAAAGCGTGAGCAAATCGTAGTTCATTGGATCCCTGACGTCGTTTTAAAAGCCAAGGCGAGTGAACTGACGCATTGCAGCTAAGCACTAGTCTTTATTCGAGGTTGTGGACACGCACGCACCCATATATTTAAACGAAAGAGGTGTGTCTCATCTTCTTTTTCCTTTTTTTTTGCATACGTGAATTTGCTATGGCGGCCCAGTTTATTGAAGAAGAACGCGCTCGCCTTTTAGAGCGTGGCAAGGCGCTCTGCGATAGCTTGGATCTACCGACTCTCTGGAGAGAAATCAATGATGAAGCTGGGATTGTCCAAGAACCTCCTCCCAACCATGGTGCAATGATGAATCATGCTTTGATGGTCACCAGCTGTCGTTGGGAAACCTTTTGCCATGCATATGGTGTCTCCGATCCTTGGAATTCGTCCGCTTTCACACTCAGTATGTAGCAAAAATTGAAAAAAAAGGGCGCTGACGCATTTCTTTAGACCTTTTGGTACGCTATGCACTTTTCCGTCATCGCATCATGACAAGATCACACATGAGTGATGAATCCGGGTCTCCGCAGCTGCAGACGTATCGCCAAGACTTCCACCACCTCTGCATTTTGGTAATTCAAAAAGAGTGCCAAGCGGTATGGATGAAAAAACTAACAAAGTACCCTCGCCTTTGTTTTTAGACTGGAATGAAAGGCATTGTGATCCCGGACAATCTCAGACAAGCCTACCGCAACTATCTATTCCAGCTTGTGCAAAAAGGGCTTCTTTCCAATAGCGGACGTCCCAAAAAAATCGTCAACCAGCTTGAGCTGAACCATGCCATCAAATTTGCTTTGCTAGAGCCTGTGATGCACCGCAGTGTTCCATATCAGCTTCAGTTGGTCACGCTCATGCTGACGGTCTTTTATACGGGCGTTCGCCTTGGATCCATTGTGCCGAGCCAGAAATTCTTGCAAAATGACTGGCGATCCGTCACTTGGAAGGTAATTTTATAAACATGCTTCTCACAAATTCTCATCTTTTTTTTTTATTTTACGCAGGATGTGGTTGTTGGACGTCAAGGGCAAGACACGCAAGGGGATATACTCTACTGTCGCATTCAATTCCATCGTTTGAAATGTCAAGAATTCGTGGTGAATATGCGTAATCGTGAATATGCTCGCACGGTCGTGTCCCCTGACACTGAAAATGGCGCACCCATGGATCTCCCCTTGATGTTCATTGTGTTGGCGACTTTGCGCGGTGCTGCAGTCGTGGGCGGGTATGAATGGTACCAATCAAATCTGGCGCTGTTTGAAATCAAACCCGAGTGGCGCGACATTGCCGTTTTTTGCGAGTCTGAAAACGAAGGCACGGCCTCAACACTAACGACCAAAGTGTGGAACACCAATTATGCGGCCAAGGCGATCAACAAGTTTTTCAAGCATGGCAATTTGGCGGGTGATCTTAACGCTTATTGTCTTCGTCGAGGTTACATCCAAGCTGTAAATAGGCACTTGAATCCTGCGCAAGCATGCAAGTACACCGGACACGTGCCTGGCTCGCTCGTGCCCTTCCAATTCTATGGTTCAAGTGGAGCCGAATTGAACAACACAGCTCTCATGTTTAAAGGCGAAATTGCTTATTTTGGAGACGACGAGCTCAATTTGTTGCAAGGCAACATCTCCTTGGCCGACTACAACGAGCGACACCTGACCACCAAAGAAAGACAGGAGCTGATACTTGACAAGCTGACCAAGGAAGACCAAGCGCTGAATGACTTTGAATCAGCCCTGGAGAAGAAATATGGCGCATTTTATGACATGGACGATCTATCCGAGGAAGACGCAAGTAACTGGCACCGCCTCTTCCGCCAACGCACAAATCGGTTGGGCCAATTGTCGCGCAAGGCCATGGCCGACAAGCTCAACAAGCTGAACCAAGAGAGACGCCACAAGGATTGGCAAGTGGACGAATCTTGCAATCTCGTCCCGGTTAGCCACACATGCAAGAAGCGCGCTGCTCTATCCAATTCTCTTGAGCAAAGGAAAAGTAAGTGATACCATTTTTTTCTTTTTTTCTTTTCTTTTCTTTTTTTTTTTTTTTGACTTTTTTTTTTTGACTTTTTTTTTTTAGGAGTCAGACCCACTACATACGAATTGGTTGAAGATGATCTCGAAATTGAGTTTGACAACGACGAAGATATCGATCAAGCTAACGGTCGCCTGGCCCAACATGACTTTATCCCCCTTCCGCTTGAACGACGTCTACATCCGCGCTTCAAGATGCTGGTCCACCTCCTCACACTAAACGAGAAGATCGCAGGTGCAAACCAATGCCCGCTGTGCCTAGACGATCCGACTTTGGAAGATGGAAAGGCATTTGACGGACATGTCACTCTCCTCCAGCACATGGTGTCATCTCTGCGATCACCTTATTGGACAGATGCAAGCGTCCCTCCAGCTGAAGGCACCCGAGCTGGAGTGCACACCAACATTATGAAGCTATCGCGTCAAGCTGGATTTTACGGTGGGCGTGCACGCGATTTGCATCAGAGCGTCACGTGCCCGGTGTGTGGGATGCATTGGTCAGAGACAACACGTGGCCACTTTATGCGCCATGTTGAAGAAATGCACCCTGATTCGCATGATACGAGCAAGACTAGGTCTTTGGAACTAGTACAGGATATTTTAATGGCTCGATTTGGCGTCCATTTTGATGAACGAGCTTTTGACTATTTTTTGGATAAGCAGCGTGCAGAATCTACAAAGTCTCGACAACGCAAATTGTACGAAGATGAGTAATGCAGTACGAAATTCCCTTTTTTCTAAAAAAAAAAAAATAACGCAGACCAAAATAAAATACATTATTTTAACTAATTAAGCAGCAAATTTTGCGCTCTGTCCAGTTTCGCACCTGACTTGTATCACATAATCATTTTAATAACATTTTTACAGCATCTCTCTATCAAAAGGGCGCACAAAATGCAAAAATTAAGGTAAAGCTTTAATTTTGTTGTTACTGTTGGCGTTTCATGGCTATCGTGGCGCTCCGACGTGGGCAGCAAATATCCAGGAGATGGCGTGATTTGTCTACCATCTACTGTGTCTAGTGGATTTGCATTTGATATCATAAGGACTGCTGTTTAGGGAGAAAGGCAAGTGAAATTGTCGAAAAATCATTTTCTCTACAGCTGACCTTTTGTTTTCTACGCATGAATGGTGAATGACCACTTTTGTGCACGCGCAACACAGCTTAGCCAAAATGCTAGAACACATTCGCCATAACCTATCCACCTAAATTGGCCCATTTGGTCAACTATGTGAGGTATTACAAGCAAAGTATCATGCTTTACACTCTCGCTTTTTTTTTTTTTTTTTTTTACCATTCGTTCTTCAATTCGCTTTGAATTGAGACCAAATCAACCGGTGTCTCTTCACAAAATCTAATTCCATGATTTTGGAGACAATCAAGCAAGCTGAAAGAGCGCCATCGGCATTGATTGGGAAAATGCGCGAAACACTGTTATACCCCCCCTCCCCCTCAAAAAAAAAAAGAGTGCCTGGTATATCCAATGCCAGGTGCAATAAAAAAAAAAGGAGTATTCAGCCACCCCTGACCAGCGTAAAGTGCATCGCGCTCCGATAAAAAATGCCAAAAAAAGGATCTTTGCCGGAGCTGAGAATCGAACTCAGGTTAACACGGCCACAACGTGGTGTGATGCCACTACACTACTCCGGCTTGATGAAAATTTATCCAGGCAGTGTTTCTTGAGCCAATTGCAATTTTTTTGCCTTTTTGTTTACTGCTCCTATTCATTATCAAATTATTTGGCTACAAGTTTAAACTTTTCAGCCTTAAAATTTTCAATTTTTGGGCCCTTGGAAACGAGAATTGGGCTCCAATTGACGTCAAGCGGCCTGTCGGAGTTTGGCGACACGGCAACATGACCTGATCTGACGGCTGCTTTTTTTTTTTTTTTTTTTGCTTGCGATGCCACGATGCGCTTGCATGAAAAATAAAAGTGTTTTTAATGACTACGTAAGATTATCTTGTTTCAATGCCGTTTTGAACAGAATTGCTTTGTGCCAGGCTGCCAGCACCCACAGTGCACGGGTCGCAAAATTGGGTGTTCAAGGGAGTAGGATGCTTTGGGCAGACTCCTCCCTGGCGTCGCGCTTGGAACCCAACATATTCCGTATTAAAATGATCTCTATGTGTCAAAAATATGACTGCGACTTGCAATACTTTTAAAAATGCACCGGCTAACGTAAGTGCCGTCGAGTGCTGTTGGATGAATCTTCGTGCATGTTGGGTGCTCTGCCGGCTACTTGCCTAATTAGGCAGGTAGGGCGCGACGTGCCTCCCCTTGGTTGCGAGGCGATTGACACCGAGTTCTTGAAGTGATGGTAGATCCATCAGCGCCATTGCCAAAAATGACATTTTGGATAAAATGTGATTAAATTTCATAAACACACGGCACACGCATCGCGCGTCACGTCGGTCGACAACCCAAAGGAGAATTGAAATCAAGTTTGCAACGCACAACGAGACAAAAAAAAAAAAAAAAGGTTGCATCAAGTGAAGGAAAAAGACATTTGTGCAAAATCACTTTTGTATACACACAATATACCAAGAAACTTGGTTTGATGAGATTTTTGGCGTTCATTACGTGAATGACTCGTCAATTCTTCTTTGAGACGTCCATGTAACTGTGAGAGGAAGTCCAACGCAAAACGATGCCTCAATTTACCGAGATTTTACATTTGAATGCGTATTTTTGTGTTGTGTACCAAATATATCCAACTAGAGAGTTTAGAAAAGAGTGCATCCAGAAATGAGATCAATTGACAGGTAGGGCTAGGCAATTGAGCGCTTTGGAGCCCATCACAAAGACAAGAAATGATTTTTTGGGTTGTATGTGCGGAGCATCAAGACACAAGAGGCCCGGCGCTGGCTTTTGACCTTTTTTGCTCGCATCCTTTTTTTTTTTTTTTGTTCCTGTCACTCTTTGTTGCTTCGTTTGCTGCTCCTTGTGCTATTTTTGTTCTCATTTTGACTTAAACGACGTGCCCACAAGACCTGCAACGATTGTTACCATGACTGATCAAGAAGCAAAGGTAAAACTTGACAGAAAAGGCGTTTTTCAGCACGCGCGCCAGTCTCACTTTCTTTACTCACGTGTTGTTAAGATGGCAACAGTGGAAGCGATACGCAAAGACCTCGAAGAGACGTTCCTCACGCCTCAGACGTCCTTCCCCGCGGCCTGGCTGAACAAGTTTCAAGAGTAAGTCTCAAACGCGTCTGGGACGAAAAGGGAGGGGGGCACACTGACACACTTTTTTTTTTTTTTTTTTTTTTTTTTTTTTTTTTTTTTAAAAGGCATTGGGACGAGCCAACACGATTTGCGACATTTGCGCAGGAGCAGCTGTGTGGTAGCGTGTCTGACTTGCAGGTAGTGCGCCATGGATACGACGGCGACATTGTTGGGTACCACGAGTTCCTGCCGGGTGGCAATGCATTGACGGCCAACAATTCAACCAGCATGAATCGCGCCGTTAGCTCGACAAGAGATTTTGTGCGCGGATCGACAGCGCAATTCCCGTTTGCGCCGGGCGGCCTCGACGAGGACCACGCTCTCATGGTCTCTGCGCGCGAATTGGAAGAAAAATCCGACGAAATCTTCAACATGCAGCCGGATGCGTCCATCCTCGACAATCTCGACCTTGCGTCCGCCGTCCCACCCGGCCTGACGCGTGGCATCCGCTTCCCAGGCGACGACGACGCGTACGAAGCAGCACCTGCGCCAGCACCAGCATCCGCTGCCGTGTTTAGTATCGAGGACATGCTCAAACCAAGCGATATCGATCAATTCGACTTTTTGGAAACAAAAGTCTTGGATCAACCCACTATCTGCCATGATGTGCGCAACAAAATAACAAGATCAAATCGGGATGGCGAAAAAAAAAGGGGTGGATTCAAGGCTGATTTCCATTTTTTTATTATTTTTCAAAAGGGACCAATGGCCGCTGACAAGGACGAGCCGCAAGACGTGGACGCGCTCCTGCCGACACAGCTGCAGACAGAGCCTATGGCGCCCAAGAAGCTAAAGTCGGTCAAGGACATCCAGGGCCGCCGCGACTGGGCACACGAGATCAACGTCAATGAGCCGTTTGACAATTTTTACGAGATGGTCCCCGAGATGGCACAGCAGGTACGGCCCATTTTCCAATGAAAAAAAGAAGGGGCACCGAGTCACTCATTTTTTATTTTCTAGTACCCATTCGAGCTCGACACGTTCCAAAAGCACGCGATTTACCACCTCGAAAAGGGCGAATCTGTATTTGTCGCGGCACACACGTCCGCAGGCAAGACCGTGGTGGCCGACTATGCCATTGCTCTTGCAAGCAAGCACATGACAAAGTAAGATGGGCGAAACAGTCACTGGAGCACGGGGAGGGGCATGCGGCTCACATTTTAACCCATGAAAACTTAGAGCCATCTACACGTCGCCCATCAAGGCGCTCTCCAATCAGAAATTCCGCGATTTCAGGCACACCTTTGGCGACGACGTCGGTATTTTGACGGGCGATGTGCAAATCCGGCCCGAGGCCAGCTGCCTGGTCATGACGACCGAGATTTTGCGCAGTATGTTGTATCGTGGCGCCGATCTGATCCGTGACGTGGAATTCGTCATCTTTGACGAGGTCCACTATGTCAATGACCTGGAGGTAGCGAAAAAAAAAAAAATGATGAGAGCAGTGGCTTGACACTGAGCCTTTTTTTTTTTTTTTTTTTTTTTACTCGTTTTAGCGCGGTGTCGTCTGGGAAGAGGTGATCATCATGTTGCCCGCGCATGTCAACATCATTTTGCTGTCGGCCACGGTGCCCAACACCAAGGAATTCGCGGATTGGGTCGGGTAAGGTGCGAATTCAAGCTCTGCGCGGCCGCTGATTGTTTTTTTTTTATTCAATCAGGCGAACAAAAAAGAAGGATATTTACGTGATTAGCACGCTTAAACGCCCCGTGCCCCTCGAGCACCACCTGTATGCTGGCAAAGAGCTATTCAAAATCGTTGCTGCCAATGAACCCAAGCTCAATGGCGTCGAGTAAGCACAATTTGCTTTTGTTTGCCATCATCACGTGCCTTACCCCCTATTTTTGCCTTTGTACAGATACAAAAAGGCGACGGATGCGTTGCTCAAGCGCAAGGAGGTGGAGAACAAGGATGCGCGCGGTGGCAAGGCCGGTGTCCGCGGCGGTCGTGGTGGTGCAATGACAAGAGGCAATGTCAAACAAGTCGGACGATCCTTCCAGCAGCGAATGCAGACTGTAAATCAAGCAGGCACACGCATCAAAACGCGACTCATTTTTTTTTTTCGTTTTGTAGGACCGCAATTTGTTTGTACACCTGATTGGCTTGCTAAACAAAAAGAGTCTGCTGCCCGTGGTCATTTTCACGTTCTCCAAACGCCGGTGCGAGGAGTACGCGTCGAGCCTATCCAAGACGGACCTGTGTACGAGCTTAGAAAAGAGCGAGATCCACGTGTTCATCGAGCGAAGCCTCGTGCGCCTGCGTGGCACGGACAAGGAGCTGCCGCAGATCTTGCGCATGCGCGACCTGCTGTCGCGCGGCATTGCCGTCCACCACGGCGGATTGCTGCCCATTATCAAAGAGGTAAAAACATCAATTAGCCCTTGGATTCACCTCCCACCTAATGGCTTTTTTTTTTTTTTTTTTTGCCAATAGATTGTCGAAATCTTGTTTGCGCGCGGTCTCGTCAAGGTCCTCTTTGCAACAGAGACATTTGCCATGGTAAGGCGCCTGTTTTTGGCTAATTGTGGACACTGTCGACGTGGATGATTGCTTAATTCTCGCTTTTTTTCTGGTTTCTTCCTTTTTTTGGCTAGGGTGTCAATATGCCTGCGCGAAGCGTCGTGTTTTCCGGGATCCGCAAGCATGACGGCCGCAGCTTCCGTGATCTGCTGCCTGGTGAATACACACAAATGTCGGGTCGCGCGGGTCGTCGTGGTCTGGACAGCACAGGCATGGTGATTATTGCTTGCGGTGGTGATGAGGCGCCCTCCGTAAGTTCCTACCGCACGTCGCAGCTCAATGGACAAAGGGAATTGACACTTTTTAATAGGCGGCGACGCTCAGCACGATGCTGCTCGGCAAGCCGACCAAGCTCGAGTCTCAATTCCGCCTGACGTATAATATGATTTTGAATTTGCTGCGCGTGGAAGCCCTCAAGGTGGAGGACATGATCAAGCGCAGCTTCTCGGAGAACACGAACCAGCGCCTCTTGCCTGATACCCAACGATTAGTCGATGAAAACGAGCTAAAGAAGAATGCCCTGCGCCAGGTCGACTGCGCCATCTGCAATGCTGACCTGTCCGCCTTTTACGACGTCAACAAGGACCTGCTCCAGCTCTCACGCACCATGATGCAGCAATTCATCGTCAAATCCCCCGTCGCCAATCGCGCCCTATGCCCAGGACGCGTGCTCATCATCAACAACAGCGTAAGTTGACAAAAAAAGAAGGAAAAAAAGCAAGAAAACAAGAAAAAAAGGAAAAAAGGAACCGTGAATCGAAGCGAGTGGCTCATCCCAATTTTTGATCAGATTCATCGCAATGCACCGGCCGTGATTCTGCGCGCCATCCCAGCCGCCGCCGACGCCTCGTCGCTGCAAAAGTCATTCTATGCGCTCGTGCTCGCTCCAAAAGACGGCATGGA